TGTGTGTGTGTGTGTGTGTGTGTGTGTGTGTGTGTGTGTGTGTGTGAAAGATGTGGAGGTAGCAGGGTAATGTACAGCCGTGAACATACCATTATAGACGGTAGGAGTTGGCTTGACGTAGCATGGAAATCTGGCACTTGTACCCATCGGCTCTCCGGTAGGGGCATACTGCAACTTTGGCACTGGTACCGGTAGGGGCATATTGAACATATTTCAGGCCCAATTGACACCAGGTTTTTTTTGGAAACTTGAAGCGTTGTTGGAGGGGCAAATCAGGGGAAGTCGGTCGTCGGAGGGGCAAATAACAAATAAATGCAAACTTCAGGGGCATTTCAAAAATTTTCCCATCCAAAAAACTCAAACCACCAAAAAAAAAAAAAAAAAAAAAAAAAACTCAAACCACCGGTAGTACTTGGCCCAGCTATCGGCCGCGGGAAAAAAAAGAGTACAAACGTTTCCAGTCAGATGAATTTGGGCGCTACTACTCCTGTACTAGCCCGTACGTTTCCTAAAATCGTGGCGCGTTAACGGGCACGACTCTAGGAAGTACTGCAGTGGTTTAATTAAGGGCTAGTCAGGGGTCATCTGATGGGGCCCCTATCAAGTGACGCGACGATTTGCAGCTTTGGATCAGGTAGACCCAATCCCCCCCCTGTCCTCTTGGCGCAGTACCAATATGATCCCTACCCCTCCCAGGCGACCTTGTTCAGACAGCCCTGGTCCTCTGCGGCCGCATCTGGTTCCCAAGTTAGCCTCTTTTAGATCTAGCCCTATTATGAGCATAGGCCTCAGTCTTCCAACAAGTGGACTGCAAGGACTTACCATATATTAAAAAAAAAAAAAGGACCGAAAAATAATGCTGAAGCCAAAAATTTAATGCGCAAGGCCCATCGTGCTTGATTGTCAGTTGTTCCCAGTCCAATTCCCCATTCAGCAGACAGAAATACAAATGATACAAATAGTGGAAACGGCTGCGTATGTGTGTCACTGACCGAGTGCCACTGCAACGCCACTTTTCGCTACATACCTACTGACGTGTGTGTCCCTTCGATAAGGGTGCTCCATGGGGTTGCCACGGTGACTTTCCCATCGCTGCACCCCCCCAGACCTCGACAGGGAGAACCAGAAGCCTAGGACAAAAGACTCAGCAGACAAATAATACAAATAGTGGAAAAGGGGTGCACATGTGCTACCGAGCACAACTACCCAAGCTAGCGTTTCGATCAATTCTTGCCACTTTTCGCTACAACTACCTAATACTGACGTGTCCCTTCGACAAGGTGGTCAGCGCAGTTGTCTCAGTCACTTCCCCATCAGACCCTTCCTCCTTGCCTACCGCTTTCATCCCGCAAAAGCTACAACTGCGAAAGAATCCCTCCCAGGAGTGCTCGATATAGCCGCCCCATGCACCCCCTTATTTACATCAACCCCTATCTCCTTGCTAACTTAAACACCCTTGCACCCCCCAGCAGACAACTGGAAGAGAATCACTGGTGAACATGATTTTGCTGGGCAGGTTATGTACCAGCCCAATGAAGTCACTTTTCGCCTACCAAGGAATCAAGGACCGAAGGGTGGAAACCCCTACATCGTGCCGCATGCTTGTCGCCTTTAACAATGGTTTGAACAGTGGGTGAAGTAACTTCTCCAGACCAAACAAGCCAACCTTTTTTAACACAGCTACCTTCTCCCCTCCTCGTCTTCTCAACAAATTCATGCGAGACTTGTCCCTTTCGAAACCATCTTCCACTGAGGGCATAGATCGCAAACCACATCCTCCTCCTCCCCCTCCCCCTCCCCCTCCCCCTCCTGCTGTTGCTGTTGTTGCTGTTGTTCCTTTCAAAGGAACATCCACCCCGGGGGAGCGCCTACTACTGGCCAAGCCCTTTTCGCCACTGTCACTTACATGCAACGACAATGAGCCCACTACACACTCCCCCACAAGCGCAGCTCCTCCTCGTTCATCACCGACTTTTATGGCAACCAGGTCACTTCCTAACTTCTCCTCCATTTGCCCCTGTACAGGGGTCTGCTTGGCCCTTTCGATTGCATCTCTGCCCCTACTGTGTCCTCTCCGAGAGCTGGCCAAGCCCTCTCTGCCCCAGTGACTGTCATTTTCCTTCAACAACGACGATAACCCCGCCGCATCCTCCCCCACAAGCACAGCTCCGCGGCCATCACCCACCTTTATGACAACAAGGTCGCTTCCTAACCGCTGCTCATCTGTTTGCCCTTTCAGCTGCGGTCCAGGCATCGCAACCAGCCTCGACGTGATCCACTTGGCCCTTTCGATTGCATCTCTCTCTGCCTTCTCCCGTATTCGGTTCCTTTCGCGCCTTGCTGTGCGTCCACCGCAGCTGGTCGGCATGCATGGTGAGCGTCCCCCGGCTTCCGAGGGATAATCCACACCCTCTGGATCCTCGGAATCGCCGCTACATGCAGGTGCTGCACGACCATAACCACTTCGACCCGTGCGCTCCGGACGTACACAGTGGGTCACCGGTCCAGGCATCCCCGCGTAGGTAGGGGAAGAAGGACCTGGAAGGCTACCCTGGAGATCGCCGCCGGCGCTCATAGCGGAATGGACAACTGGTGGTCGGACTCGGACACGGCTTGGAGTGCAGGCAGAGGGTTGGCATGGTCTTTGCGAAGGATGAGTAGGACTTCGGTGGGGGGTTGCAATTTGAAATTCCTCCCTCGCTTTCGGTGCACGAGGGAGTAAGCCTTGAAGTTCCTCCCTCGCAGTCGAAGACGGAGTTCTGACTGCTGTCCTCCTTTTTTGTTGTTGACAACCGGAAGTAGCTCCGCGAACACTACCAGCAGCAGCAGTTCCTCCTCTCGATGACAATGCTTGTTGGGATAGCTGATGTGGACTCCTGCTGCCACCAGCACTCGCCGCTTCACGTTGCGAGACTGGGGTAGAGCTACCCATTGATTTCTGCGAGGCTGAACCTGCAGATGGCTGCAGGCTGGGCGGTTCCGGAGGTGCTAGCTTGCGAGCTGTGGGTGGGGATGCGCGCCAACGGGATGCCGCATCTGGATCGGCTTCCAGCAGCCACCACGGAACACGCAAAGGATCGAACAGAAGATGCTTTATACCCCCCGCAACGCTCCGAGTCCGCAGTTTACACCGAGTGCCCGGGAACCCTAAACCCAAATGCAACGACACGTCCGCATCCCTTCCAGGCGACTTTCGTGGGGGGTCCCGAGATCGGAAGCGCGTCGGTGATCTTGCCACCAAGTACCCTCTGAGATCTACGATCGGCATAACACCAATACTGCACCAGAAGGAGAGAGAGCAACCAGTTAATACACGGAACAAGTGGGTCAACCACTCCTTTTTTTTTCCTCGTTTAAACAAACCAAAGACCATGATTCTGTATTTATAATTTTTTTGTTGAAAATTGGGTATATCGTCCCAGGCCTCACATATTTTGTGACCACACCCCCAACGGCTTCCTCCATTACGGCATCGGCTGACCAGCTAAGCAATCCTTAGGGAGATCGGCTGCATCAGCACAACACAAAAAATACTGCACCTGATAACCACTGAGATCTACGATCAGCATTAACATCCATACTGCACGAGAAAGAGAGGGGAAAGGGCCTCGCTCCGCTACGCAATATTCTGCACGCATGCATTTGGACACTTTCTGGACCACGTGCATCCCAACAAGTTCAACATTTTGAATGTATGGGACAATTATGAGGTCCAAATACACGACGAGTGTTGTGTAGTGGAGCAATGCCCAAAGAGAACGCATTCCCACAGAGACAAGTCGATAAATTGGGTAATCGATAATACGCACAACATAAATACTCCACGAGTAACAGAAGAGACGGTATTCACCAGGGGCAACTAGGTAAAATAAAATAGTAATATCTTTAAATACACCTTTTTTTTGTTAAAAAAATAAAATAAAAAAATGGACCATTTCTCGCTTTATGTGTGTCATCCTTGCGCAGGGGCTGTCTCTTATACACATCTAGATGTGTATAAGAGACAGGGGGTGAGTAGTGCGGTGAGACCCAGTATCTCACC